CTCAGTAACAACTCCTTTACACTTTCTTCTTTAATCTCTTCCGATGTATCGTCCCTAGGGTGCCATACCTCCTGGTCATCGTTAATGGGTACGGCTAGCTCCCCATCACCCCCTGTGAGTGGCCCCACACTCTCACGGTCCGTGGCACCGCACGTGACGGGTGGCGGGGGCGGCGGGCACGTGAACACGCGCTCGTGCACGCGGCACGCGCCCGGGGAGGAAGCTGTGGACGCGCCGCAGCTGCAGCCGCCGTAGCAGGGTGACGGCGGCGTGCCTAAGGGCGTGCCGATGGGCGGGGGAAGGATGCCAGTAGGGAAGGCGGGGGGAGATACGGGCGAGGCGTAGGCAGCTGCGGCAGCGGCGGCCGCGGCCGCTGCAGTAGCGGTGGCGGTCACCGGGAGTGTACGCGGGACCACGTCGCAGGGATATGGCTGTTGTGTTTGGGGAGTGTAGGGGATGGCGGGGGAACGGCGCCCCCCGTCACACGAACTGTCGAACACCCGCTGGCCGCCGCCCCTCATGCAGCCGCCGCCACAGGGTCGCGCCCCGCCGCCACCACGCCACCAGCACATCCGGCCGCCCAGAGCTGTGAGCGGCAGGCCAGGCGAGGGCGACGACGGAGCAGGGCAGCGCCGTTGTGAGAGTAGCCGTGGGCAGTGACGAAGGTGGTCCATAGGGAGCAGAAGTCCAGCAGCATGAGAGGGAGAGAAAAACAGCATGAGTTGGACATTCGGCGCGCGAGCGGCTCCGTTTGGCACCGCTCGTGACACACCCTTCTTTCCTTGTCCCAGTCACACTAGATACACATCGGACTAACCTCGTGACTCGCTACCCACTAGTAAGAGGAAAATCCTGTGACTGACCCTCCGAGCCCATTCCCTGTCTACTTTCCCCCTCTTGGAACTACCTGATACCTCAAAAGACTCTTTACTACTGCCTCGTGCTATCTCTAGGGACCACTGGAACTTGCGCCGAGGAGCTGGTGCACTGCCCCTGAGAGCCCTTGCCGAGCCCCCGGGGCCTTCCAGACCCCTTCCGGGAATCATTAATGCCACTTGGTTCGACGTAAAATTCGGGCACCAAATGGCCGAATGCTTTTGCTGAAAATTACCTTGACTGATCATAACTACAGACCCTTAAAGATCCCACAAGAAGCTCCTCGGAACCCTTAAAGTCGTCCTTAGCGTCTGTTCCTGTGATCCCCGCCCGCGGTCTCTACCTTAGGACCAAATAAAACGAAAATCAACGAAAGGGATGCTATCATATTCTGGCTTCCGGAAATCTCATTGGTAACTAGAAACTTTAAACTTCAACGACTTTGAGTACACATGGAAACCTGAACGTTAGCTTTACGTTGACTGACTGTAGGGCTTTCAGCTTAACCTATACTAAGCTAAGAAAACTTCAAAACGACCAAACAAAATCCGACTCATTGTGAACCCCCCTGGCCTGCTCTACTTGCCGTTTCATTCTCGTCCCTCCAAACTTATTTACTCTATACCAAGTCTTCCATTCCTTTCCCCTCCCTTCCACATGACCCCTTCCCTTCTCTTCGCTATAACACCAGGTCATCTTTCTCACGCCCACCCTATCTGCCCTTGCCTCTAACCCGCCCTGGTTATTTCCCTCACTACGTCCGCCCTCCTATTCCGCCCTCCCTTTCACTCCCTCCGCCCTCCTCCCTCCTGCTACCCCTTCCCCTCCGCCTTTCACCCTAACCCTCTCGCACGCTTCTAAGAACACTAAACACCCGCTCCTGGAATTCCTGAAAGGGAAGAATACCAACGTAATTATTCAATCTGCATACATCCTGCGCTCTCCATTCTGCCAGCGCGGCGCCATATTCCACACACACTGACGGTATAGCGATGATCCTTTCACAACTGAAGACTTGGCACCACATCCTCCTCTCACGTTCCAGCGCAGTTCCACACACACTGCATTCTGCCAGCATTACACATTTCTCATATTTCCCTCTCTGGCAACATGACACCACATACTTTATATCCATACTCTTTCAGCCATGGAGATGACGATCCAATACTGGGCACTCTGCTACGCTATGAAGACTATCCTAAAATCTTACCCAATATATAAGGACTTTAACATTAAAAACAAATACAACCAATTATAATTATATTTTACAATATGGAGTCACTAGAGATCATTCCATGTATACAATTCCTGGAATTTTTACCTACACGATCATAGTAAACATTAACAATACATTAAAGAAGACAAATATTTACACAGGACTGAACTATCAGTATTCTCTATTTTGTAAAGTGAATCATAAGAAGGACAGAATATGATACAAGAATTACATATTAATAAGAGATATATGTAGCGTAAGATGAAGAGAAAAAAGAGAAAGAAAAAGAGAAAGAGAAGGAGGGAGGGAGGGAGGGAGAGAGAGGGAGAAAAGAGGAGGGAGGAGGGAGGAGGGAGGACAGAGGAGAGGAAGAGGAAGACGGAGAGGGAGGAGGAGGAGGAGGAGGAG